TGGTTTCTACGACAAGGCATATTCTTCAACAGTTATGAATTTCAATGATCTATCATTTACCTCGCTGAAGGTGGTGGCAAGATGTTTGAGCAGACTATCTCTGAATCTTTCATGTCTAAGACCTGAGATCACAGTTGTAATTCCCACAGCCTGGTCGAAAAAGCTAACTTCCAGTACTGCATCATTGAACCTGCTCATAAAATTCTTCAAAGACTCTCCATCCCTCTGCCTAACTCGCATCAGCTCAAAAGTGGTTTTCTTGATCAACCTTCTATTGGAAAACTTTGTGGCAAAAGCAGATGTCATTTCTGTATAAGAGCTTATTGACCTCGGAGGTAGATTATAGTACCAAGTTCAAGCATTACCTCGAAGAGTAAAGGGAAAGATTTTGCACATCAACACATCAGAGGCATTCTGGGCTTGCATGCAAGAGTAGAAAGCATGCAAGTGACCATCGAAATCCTTCATTCCATCATAAGTCTCAAGTTGAGGTATTCTAAAACCAGCAGGGTAGGGTTCTAATGTGATGTTAGTGTTCAGAGGGTGAGGTATGGAGTCCGTAGCATGACGTGGAGGTGGGGCACCCCTCTGCTCAACTACTAGCTTTTCTAGACTGTCTAGACGTCGAGTGACATCATTAGGGAGGGGTTGCTGAGCTGGTGCAATGTGAGATTGGCCCTGAGATTCACTAAGAGCAAGAACATGCTAAACTGGTTCAGGGTTTTATTGTGGAGCTGGGGGTTGTGGAGCAGGATTAAGTAGGTTGATGAGTGGATCACCAGGATTGTTCCGAGCAAATAGCTGAGCCAACACTAGCTAAAAGACACCAAACTGTTGTTGCATGGCAGCGAGCTGAGCCGCAACTACGTCTTGGTTGGCAGTAGAGGCTGAGTTGTGAGCTGAATTGTGTGGTTGGTTGTCATCTCCTCCTTCTGCATGGTCAACATGAGGGAATGTATTCGGGATTGGAGGTGGGAAGAGAGGTGGAAGGTTGCTGGGGACCTGACCTCATCCAAGAGGCTGAGATGAGTTTCTAGCTCGAACTGACCTAGTATTAACCATGATAAGAGCAACAAGGGAGCCTTCAGTTTGGATTCCCACAGACAGCGCCAAATGTAATTTCACCAAACCAGAAGTCCTTCTTCAGTTCGTATCTGTACTCCGGATTGACCTACAAAGCCCCGAGGTGGGTCCTCGAGGTAGACACTCTGATACTTAAGCTAGCAATAATCGAGGCTACCTTTAGAACGGAGATCAAAGGAGCTTAGGGTTGGTTTCAATTACCTTTTTGACGTGGCCCCTAGGGGGTATTTATAGGCTCTAGTGAAGAACCCACGTGGCATGCCAAGCAAGATAATCGGAGCCTAACGTGTCTATCTAAACAGTTATTTCAGGATCGGGAATTTGAGAGATATTCAGATGCAAGGATGTCCATTATAACTGCTGTGCAGCTTATCATAAAGAATTAGATGCGGGCGTGCTTATTGTCGTTGTCATGTAGCTATTTAAGCGGGAAGTTTTGGATTTATCCAACACTTCGGTCATAAAGGAATTACTGTCATACGTCTGAGGTTGGGCACCTCGGACCTATCCTTACAGAAAGGGCAAACAAATTCCAAAAAAGTAGAAACACAAATGCTACTCGCAATATTGACTAATTTAAAGCACAAAATAGACAAAATTGAAATTATTATTTGATTTAAAAATTTTAAAAAATTATATGCTTAAATAAAAAAATAAATTTCATATTTTTATTTAAATTTAATCTTCAAAACAACCTCAGAAACACTATACAGTGGATCCAAATATCCAAATGAGAGAAGTCAAGAAAAGAAAAACACATACATATACCTTATACTCTTCAACAGCGGCAAATGAGCCCTTGTCTGACGGTTGGCGCATTGTTCCGTCAAAAAACTAACGGAGCCTTCATTTTGTGGGTTTAGAGTTGGGCTGACAGTTGCATGGCACGTTGGATCACTTCAAAATAAATAAAAAAAAAGTAAAAGTATAATATACTTTCTAAATTAAATTACACATTATTCTGAATTTACAAAATGTATCATTTTAATATTTATTTGTTTTATTAATTACTATTAGAATGTTCTTTGGCAGTTTCTACATACTTAAACACTAATCCTATTTCAAGTAATTTAAAATACCTTTAATTAGTTTGATATATTTAAAAATTTTAATTTTTTAAGTGTTGATATTAAGACTTAAATTGTAAATTTATCTTATAAAAAAATATTTATTCACTAATAAATTTAACTTTTAAAGTTTTTAGTATATGTTATTTATTTAAATCAAATTTTGTTAAAAAGAATCATATTAAAATGAATAATTAGTCTGGGCATTGGGTAGTAAAATAATAACAACAACAACAACAATAACAACAACAACAACAATAGAATTATCAAAAAAAATTAGATTAAAAAATGTATAGATATTTTTATTATTTAAGTATATTAACAACAGAATCATCAAAAAAAAATTTAACTTAATTTAGATTAAATATACATGGTTTCTCCTTTCATAGCTAGTCTAATCCTAGAGCCAAAGTAATAAAAAAAAAAATTTTGAACACATAATTTTAATCCAAACCTAACTGTGAATCATCAATGATAAACTCCAAATTCCATATACAACAAAAAATTCACCTCTCCTCTATAACTCTATGTTCAGACAAATAAAAAAATTAAGTATGAATGACAAATAATGTAAAACAAATAATAAAATAAATAAAGAACAATTTATGGACACAAAATGAAGGATAAAGATAAAAAATTAAGTTTGAATTTAATTTATTCCTCTGAATCCACATAAATAAAGAGAAATACCAAAAACAAGTTGTAATTTTTTTAATGAAAATTTGTAAAATATTTTAATTATTTGCGACAGATTAAAAAAAGAAAGAAAAGAAAAATAAAAAAGTTTTGGTTCTGCATGAGTAGAAGCACTTAAAATTCTTACTTTTAAATTGTTGTTTCATAAAATGTTTTAATATTAATAGGTTTGATGACATAGGTTGTTTCCAACTCAGCAGCCAGTAGAGTGAAACGAGAGCACCATTAATTATTTGACGGAATGATGACATCACCCTTCAAACAAGGGCATATTTGCCACTTTGAAAGAGTATAAGGGGTGGTATGCTTCTGAATTTGGTTCAGGGGCTAATGTGCCACTGATAGTCAAGTTCAGGGGGTTTTTTGCATGATTCGCCTATTTCATTAATTTTACCGAAATTTTAAACATAACTTACAGAGAATGGAATGAAAAAAGCTAATTGTACCTAGAAACTCACAGATCTCGTCTTACCAAAAAAAAAAAAATGAAAGAAACTTACAGATCTCGGTCTGCTTCCTTTTCCTTTCCAGAGAAATTTTTTGTTACTCGTTGTCTGCTTGACGCTTTGGTCCTCTAACTTGATCTAGTCACAATTTAGTCCTTGCAAAACCAAACCTTTAGTTTAAAATGTTTTCAATTAAGTACAAAATGATACCAACTAGGGTTAACCTTGATTTTTCGTTGAACAATTTTCATATTAATTTCCGCATTATATTAAAACTCAAATCTTTTGAAAATTTTCATTGAAATTTTTTGAGAGATTAGAAAAATTAAGATATTTTTTCTCTTTATATATATTTTAATTAAGAGGTGTTTTTCAGCACAAATTATACTTTTTTTATGTAGTACAGATGCTAAAATTATCAAAACACCATCAATGAATAAATATGGAACGCAAATTTATTAAGGGTATTTTAATAATTTTAGTACCCAAACGCTAAAAAAAAAGTGCTTTCCAAATTGAAAAACACATTTATGATATATATTTGAAAAATATTAAAATAGCAAGAAAAAATTAGGTTATAACAATAAAGAAACACTGAATCATCCCTAATACAAACAAAAGTTTTGTTATCGGATTTCTCTACCTTTTTAAGTGGCAACAAGGTGGGCTTGCATGTTTTGGTTGCCTTATTTGTTCTTCTTTTTTTTGGTTTTCTTCTAAGTTCTTACTTTAATCTTGTAGACTAGTACTATCATTTTGTTGTTTATAATGTTAATGTAATTTATAATTGTGTTTTCTACAATTTAATGTTTAGATTTTTTATCTAACCACATAATTTAAAATAATGTTAAAAACTAATCAATTTAATCAAACCACTCCAATCTTACTTCAGTTTGATTGATTTCATTACAATATAATAGTGAATTGAATTTACTTGAAAATTTTACTAATTTGATTTTTAAAATGTTAAAATCTAAATCAACTCATATCATGAACACCCCTAACTGAAGGGATCAATTTAAGGTTTCTACCTAGTTTTCCACTTTAAAGTGTCTTTAAGAGTCTGTTTGGTCTAATAGTTAAAATTCAGCAGATTAATAGTTAAAATTCAGCAATTAACGGGTAGTGAGTAGCAATTAGCGGGTAGTGAGTAGCAATTAGCGAATAACATGCGGCGGATAGTGGAGAGCAGATAGTGAAAAGCGAGTAATGAATAGTAGATAGCAGATAGCAGATTTGATTAATATAATTATTTGGTTACATAATAGTTAATAGTTATTGTTTAAAATTAAATAACTAATAAAGACATTTTTAAAAACAATTAAGTGTATTTTTTGAT